GGATCTTTGTAAACATGACACAAGCAGAAGCTTGAAAAATAGGTGTGCAGTAGGGCTTGCTCTCATGCCACTCTTAGAAACCCATGCCAGGAGATGAGAGACACTTTCCCTAGAAGAGAGCCACTTGGATGACTGACAGCTGGCCATGAACATGGATGAGCCCAGCGGAAACCAGAAGAACTGGCCTGTTAAGCCTAGCCCAAATTGCTGACTTAGAGAACTGTGAACTAAATAAAGCTAAATAAGTGGTAGTTTGTTTTAAGCACTAAGTTTTTGGGTGGTGTGTTATGCAATAAAAGCTAAATGATACAAAATCCTAAACATTAAAACAAGCTGGAAAGGGATACTTATTAACTTACAGATGGTGTGGGAACAAAAAATGTCAGTTATATTACTCTTTATTTGTTTGAAATATTTAACAACTAAAAAAGGTTTAAAATTACCTTGAAAAGTCTTTGGAAAATGAAGAAATAAGAACAGGAAAATGCCTTTGGAGAGACTGAGAGTGTATAAAAACCAATGGGAAGAAGCTGGTAGAATGGGAGAGGTTGAAAATATTGAGGAGAGGGCGTAATTAGTTGGTGATGCAAGGTTCCTGATTATGCAAAACAGGATGGTGGTATGGTCAGCACAGGACGAGAGATTAGCTTCATTAGCAGGAGGGATACTCTTTCTGTGCAGTGGGAAGGAGGGCGGGTATGGATGTGGGCACTCTAGTGGGAAAGAGAATGGATGGTGGTCCAGTTGAGCTAGACCACCTCCCCCAGGCATCCATCTGTTTTTCTCTGTCAGTACTCAGCATCCCTGATACAGGCTCAGAGAATTGAAGAACTGGATTCATTTAGAGTTGGAGTTTTGCCTAGCAGGTGGGGTGGTGACCAAGTGATGGACCATGGAACCTAAGCTGGGTGGGCAGTAAAGTGAAGACAGATAAGGGTAGGATTAAGGGCTATTGTTTAGTAATGTTAGAGCTGCCTTTACCTATTTGTCTCCCGCACAAGATTGTGAGCTCTTTAAAAATAAGGATCTTTTTAAATCATTAGTGTTACTGTAGCATTCTGCATAATATCTAACTCATAATAAGCTCTCCATAAATTGTTGAATTAAATAAGTGCTTAAAATTCTGTTCCTTGAAAGCCATGATTAAATTCACCTGCACATTTTCCCAAGCAAAACAAATCCTGTTCTTAGGGGTGTTTTTTAATTGGTTCTAATAGCTCTAATTTTTGTTTTCTATTTAGAACCTTCTTTAAGAAATGGGTAGATGTTGGTTAAAGGGTATATACTTCCAGTTGTAAGATGAATATGTTCTGGAGACATAATGTACAACATGGTGACTATAGTTAACAATGCTGTATTATATAGTTGAACATCACTAAGAGAATAGATCTCAAATGTTCTCACAACACACAAAAAAGTAATTATATGAGGAGATGGACGCACTAGTATTAACTAAGCTTTTGGTAGAAATCATTTCACAACATGTATCAAGTCATCATGTGTACAGCTTTATATGTCAACTAGAGGCCCAGTGCACAAAATTTGTGCCTGGGTAGGGTACCTAGGCCTGGCCGGCAATCAGGGCCAGGGCCGATCAGGTTCCCCGCCTCCCTGCCTCCTCCTCCCCTCAGCACCTGCGTGCCACTGCTCCTGGTCACCTGCCATGTTCCACACCGCCCCCTGGTTGTCAGCGCACATCATAGCAAGCGATTGAACTCCTGTTCTGGTGGAACTCCCAAGGGGACACTGCATATTAGCCTTTTATATATATAGATTAGAGGCCCAGTGCATGAATTTGTGCACGGGTCGGGTCCCTTGGCCTGGCCGGCAATCGGGGCCGATCAGGGCTGGCCAGCCAGGGAGAGGGACCTCGGGAGGTTGGCTGACCGAGGGAAGTTGGCTGTGGGAGCACACTGACTCCTGCATTGAGCACCTGCCCCCTGGTGGTCAGTGTGCGTCATAGCGACCAGTCAACTGGTCGTAATGGTTGCTTAGGATTTTATATATATACACACTAGAACGGGTGGGCAAACTTTTTGACTGAGGGCCACAATGGGATCTTAAACTGGACCGGAGGGCCGGAACAAAAGCATGGATGGAGTGTTTGTGTAAACTAATATAAATTCAAAGTAAACATCATTACATAAAAGCGTACGGTCTTTTTTTTTTTTTTTTAGTTTTATTTATTTCAAATGGGCCGGATCCGGCCCGCAGGCCGTAGTTTGCCCACGGCTGCACTAGAAGCTGGTTGCACAAAGATTTGCACAATAGGCCTTCCTTCCCCTGGCTGCCGGCACTGGTTTTCCTCCGGCACCCAGGACCCAGGCCTTTGGTCCAGCCGCAGCAGAGAAGCCAAGCCTCTTCAGTCTTCAGTCTTCAGCCTTCACTCCGCCCTGAGCCTTCATTCTTCACTCCATGCCTGTGTATGCAAATTAACCGCCATCTTTGTTGGGTTAATTTGCATAGCTCCTCTGATTGGCTGGTGGGCGTAGTGGCGTGACACCAATTTGCATGTTTCTCTTTTATTAGTGTAGATTAGTGTAGGTTGTATCTCAATAAAGCTGGAAAAATAAGAGTTCTCCCTATGCCTGCTCCACACTGTGCTTTCTAGTGCACAGTCTTTCCTATTGAAGACCTAGTTTGAATGGCTCACGTCTGACTTGTTCTCTAGCCAGTTTAATCCAGGAGATGAATTCTGAAGACCCAGGTGTGCAAGAGAAAGCAATCCTCAAGACAGAAAAGAGGCTACTGGTCACAGAGGAAGACCAAGATGAGGACGGATGCAGGACCACCTTGAACAAGACCGCGATCAGCCCTCCACAAGCTCCTGGGAAGGTTGCCTTTTTCGGTTGGAACTTATATACCCATGCACAGTGAAGGGCCTGTGCTGAGGCGGAGCAGGGAGTAGTTTAATCTCAGACTGTCTGCTGAGGCTGACAGTTTGTTTTTTTTCAGATTCACTAGATGTATTTTCCATAAGGAAGTATAAACCCTGATTTTATTTTCCTTGCTCCCTCTGGTCATCTTTAAACAGTCCTTTGGGTTTGTTAAAGGGAATGACCCTAGTCTCCACGTGTAATTGCATACAGTGAGGCCTTGACTTACGAGTGTCCCGACTAACGAGTTTTTTGAGATACGAGCCGTCTCTCGGCCGATTTTTTGCTTTGAGTTGCGAGCTAAAATTCGGGTTACGAGCCAGCTTCAGATACCCCACCGCTAGTTGGCGCAGCAAACATCACAGTGAATGCCACATCAGCCCAGCATCACGTGTCTCACTCATTCACTTTTTCATTTGACATATGAGTAATTTGAGTTACGAGCTCGGTCACGGAATGAATTAAACTCGTAAGTCAAGGCCCCACTGTACTTATTAGTCAGCATTGTTTCTGAAATTTGTTTCTTTGCTTTTATGATAACCTGTGGCCTGCAGAACGCAGATGAAATGAACGCAGGTAAGGGCGGCATCTCTCTTCCCAATGTGTATGACTTATTTAGGATCAGTGTTTACTGACTGCAGCTTCCAGACCCTTAAATTATCGCCTCTGGGTTTACAAACAACCCATGAGCAAAAACCTACTGGTCACCCAGTTCTGTGGCTGGTGGTCAGAGGGAACAGCTTGGAGGCTTCTCTCTTTTCTCCACCCAATCTTTTGTGTGAACTGAATTCAGCTGTTCTGTATCTTCCAGTTTACACTCAGCTGCTCAAGGGATCAGATCGTTTTTGTTGCTCAGCTCAGAAGCTCATTATGCTAAATAGAACAAAAAAGGCTTCAGAGAAAAACTCTTTTTAAAGACATAATTCAAATTTGAAGCATAGACATAGCCATCATGTATAATAATACATGACACAGATTACCATGTCAAATTAAGATGATTTCATTTTAGTTATGTGTGTGCGCATGTGTGTGTGTGCCTACATGTGTATGCATGAGAGAGTGGCCCTAATGCCTTAAAGTAGCTTTCTCCCAAATGTGAGATAAGGAACTGATTATAGTATTGGCTTTTTCTTTTTAATATTTGAAATTACTCTGCTGTCAGAGGCCTTCTTGGCATCTGTGGAGAAGGATGCAAAGGAACGAGCCAAGAGAAGAAAGGAAAACAGAGCCTTAGCAGATGGTAATTGTCAGCCTTCGCTTTTCCATAGCTGGAATGATTTGTGCTGGAACCAGTCTATCTGCTGATGTTTGAGGACATCAGGACTCCCAGTGGGTGGGTTCAGGGGGACCTCGGCAGAGGGACCTGACCAGGCAGGAACCATTGATGGCCTGTCTCCTGACCCTGATGCAGCGAACAGGGAGCAGGACATAGCTGTCGGTCAGCCTCCACAGTCCAATCTGTTTGCTAAGCATGTGGGCGGACTTGGCAGGTCAGATTGAGCAGTGCTAAATGGCACTGGGAACATAGGGAGGCATGGGAGTGAGGTACACTGGCTGGCCTAAGGCATAGATGAAGAGGTAAAAAAGAAAAATGAAACTAGAAAACAAAGGTATGAGAAGGGAGAGGAGAAATGAAAAGAAATACAAGTTGCGTGTGGGGGGAGCACACATGACAATGCTTTCAGTGTTGACTTTATACCACCCAGTAGCACGTGAGCTGCAGACTGAATGATAGCATATTCACTGGAAAATTTGTGGTTTGACCCTTTTTATGACATCGGATGTGTAGACTTGGTCTTTGTGGCAAGCTTGGAATGGGTCTCAGCCCTGAGACAGGAACATTTACTTTTTCTGAGAAGCTTCTTAGAAGATTTGGGGTGAATTTGGAGAAAGAAATCCTTAAAGAAGCCAATCCTGAACTATCTGACATGAGTGACAGGTCCCCGTTGATGGATATAAGCTGTGCCCTTCAGAGTACGGTCGGAAATCAGGGGAATAAAATCTGAAAGCATTTTGCAGTGTGTAGAGAGCTCACCTGTATGACTTGTTCTCATAGCCCTCAAAGGAAAAGGGAATGAGGCATTTGTCAGAGGCGATTACGAGACCGCCATCCTCTGCTACAGTGAGGGTTTGGAGAAGCTGAAGGACATGAAGGTGCTGTACACCAACCGAGCCCAGGTCAGTGAGCCAAGCGGGTCCATGGGGTTTTCTTAGCAACAAAGTTGAGAGCCTTGTGAAATCTGAGAAAGATGAACCTGGATGGTATCCATGACAACTGGCTCTGTTTGGGGTGTGGGCGAAGCTGACTTGTATGGAGCATTTGCCAATTTCCACGGTGTAAATACTCTCACCGTGGTCCAATTTCAAGCTACCAACTTGAAATCATTGGAGGAGGGCTTGGGAAGAGCCCTCTGTAATCAATTCTGCCCATATAAGTCAACTCCAGTGCATCGCTGGTGGTAACCAGGCACTTTCCATGTGTGTAAAGGAGAAAACTAGTGGCATGAAATGACCTGTGAGACCTTGGGATGCTGCCATCATGGGTTGTCCAGCCTCCGGTTTAATGGTAGTCTAAGGGCTGCTCTCCTGTTAATTTCTTACCCATTGTATCCAGCCCTCTTTGATTAAGATGCTGTGACTGGAGTTAACTGGACAGCTGATGAGTCTAGAGCAGTGGTTCCCAACCTTTTTTTGGCCATGCCCTACCTAAGCATGCCTAAAATCCTGATGCCCTGCCCCCCACCGTGACATAAATTCTTATTCAAAAAGTGAACTCCTATTCACGTGGAGGAAGCCTAAAAGGCTATTAACTTGGTCTAACAAGCTTCCAAAGAACATGGCATCCATGAAAGAGCAAAATAAAAGAACGAAAGGACAGTTGAAGTGCTGAGGAAGAAATCACTAAGAAATTGTTTAAAAAATAATAAGAAGTGACATGAAAAATAGCAAATAAAGTTTCAAAACATACAGTAGAGAACTAAAATGCATAAATATGTCTATGAGGCCCCTAGAACCATAAGAAATGCAGAAAATTCACTGTTAATAACTCATTCTCAAATTGCCCCCCTTAAAAATAAAATTGCCCCTTTTTGGGATATGTGCCCCACATTGGGAACCACTGGCCTAGAGTCAATTGTGAGTTTCTGAAATCCCTAATTCCTCAGTTTCATATCACAGAGCTCTGCACACAAAATTCATGCGTGGGTATGGTCCCTAGGCCTGGCCTGCCATCAGGGCCATCTTCCCCAGCTACCCACAGCCAGCCCCACCTCCTGCCACCACCCACCCCCGATTCCCCATTTGCCATTGGGTGATCAGTGCCTGGCGGCTAGGGGAAGGGACCAAGAGGTTGGCTGTTCCCACCCACTCGCCAGCCCTGCCCCCACCATGTGTCGCCCTCTGTGTGAGAGGTGACCAGCGGCGCAGGGGCCTTGGCCAGGCACCACCTGCATACCCCGCCACCCAACCCCAGTTCCCCGTTCACCATCAGGAGATTGGAGCCTGCCAGCCACCGAGGTGGTCAATGCACCTCATAGTGACTGGTCCAGCAGTCATTCTGATTGTTCCGCCATTAGGGTCAATTTGCATATTACCCTTTTATTATATAGGATAGCGGCCTGGTGCATGGGTGGAGGCCAGCTGGCCTGCCCTGATGGGGGCCCTAGCGGGGTGGGGGTCCCCGCTCAGGGGTGGGGCCAGCCTGGGTAAGGGGCCGTGGGCTGTTTGCAGGCTGACCATGCCTCCCTATTGGGGTGGGGGTCCCTGCTGGGGGGTGGGGCCGACCAGGGTGAGGGGCCACTGGGGGTTTGCAGGCTGGCCACACCCTGATCGGGGTGGGGGTACCCACTGGGGGGTGGGGCGGGCCTGGGTGAGGGGCCGTGGGCGGTTTGCAGGCTGGCCACACCCCCAATTGGGGTGGGGGTCCTGCTGTGGCAGGGGGAAGCTTGGGTGAGGGGTCGGTAGTTCTGGTTTCTGGTCATTCTGGTCATTCCGCTGTTTAGGTCGCTGGGCTTCTGTTATATAGGATGGGCTCTGTTTCCTGGAATTCCATGTAAAACTGTCACCCAGATGTTTATTATCTACTTGTTAAAGAAGGGACAAGGTGGATAGTTCGCAGTTGAAACAGAATGTCACCTGTGGCCTTATCTTGAAAAGCACCTGAGTCTGTGTGTGGTAGAACTCTCTGTTGCTCAGGCCTGGAAAACCGGCAGCTTCCTGGGCGTGACTATCCAATGGGCAGTGTCTGTCGGCAGGACCCGTGTGAAATGCACTGAGGCCTTGTCATTACAAGAGGAAGAGCCCGCATCAGCTCCAGTTCCTGTAACTGGAGACTAAGGATGCCTTGCTGTGTGTGCTGAGGAAGAGTGTGCAAGCAGGACCTCTGTGGTTCTGAACATGTGGAAAAGCAAAAGGGAACGGGGAAGTTACAGGGTGTTGAGTCCACGCTTGGAGGCCACAGGTTTGGGAAGTGACAGTGACTTAAGGATAAGTAAATCCAAGCTCAGTATCACTCATTAGCTCAGCAGTTTAGACTCGAGTTGAGATGACATTTACCTAGTCCCATTGGTGGAGAAATTGTTATAAAGAAATGATTGGTGAATAAAATAGCCAAGGGTTGATTTAGCATTTAGTGTACATTTTATCACCCTAACAGGATCATACATTTTTTAGGGCAAAAACTGCCATACACTTTTCCCCCTAATGCTTTATTTATAACAGATGTTCAATAAATTCTTTTAAGTTACATAACATTGGAAGCATAATAAGTCAATTTAAGGGAATTAAGTTTCTGTTCCCTCTTCAAAAGAAACATTTAAATGCAAACAATTAATATAATAATTATAGTTCCTTTTTATTTATCCCTAAATTGGTCCCTGAAACATTTACCTACTAATGCTTGTTCAGTCTTATTACTCTGAAGTTATTTGAAAGCAATAAAATTGAATTGCTTTGAAAATGTTTTTTTTTTAATTAAATCTTTATTGTTCAGATTATTACATTTGTTCCTCTTTTTTTTCCCCCCATAACTCCCCTCCTCCCAGCTCCCGCCCCACCCTCCGCCCTCACTCCCCACCCACTGTCCTCTTCCATAGGTGCACGATTTTTGTCCAGTCTCTTCCCGCATCTCCCACACCCCTTTCCCCCCCAAGAATAGTCAGTCCATTCCCTTTCTATGTCCCTGATTCTATTATGATCACCAGATTATTTATTCACTTGATTCTTAGATTCACTTGTTGATAGATGCATATTTGTTGTTCATAATTTGTATCTTTACCTTTTTTTTTTCTTCTTCCTCTTCTTAAAGGATACCTTTCAGCATTTCATATAATACTGGTTTGGTGGTGATGAACTCCTTTAGCTTTTCCTTATCTGTGAAGCTCTTTATCTGACCTTCCGTTCTGAATGATAGCTTTGCTGGATAAAGTAATCTTGGTTGTAGGTTCTTGGTATTCATCACTTTGAATATTTCTTGCCATTCCCTTCTGGCCTGCAAAGTTTCTGTTGAGAAATCAGCTGACAGTCGTATGGGTATTCCCTTGTAGGTAACTGGGTTTCTTTCTCTTGCTGCTTTTAAGATTCTCTCTTTGTCTTTTGCTCTTGGCATTTTAATTATGATGTGTCTCGATGTTGTGATAAAGAACCAACTAGAAATTAAGCATACACTGACTGAAATAAAGAATATTATACAGACACCCAACAGCAGACCAGAGGAGCGCAAGAATCAAGTCAAAGATTCGAAATGCGAAGAAGCAAAAAACACCCAACTGGAAAAGCAAAATGAAAAAAGAATCCGAAAATATGAAGATAGTGTAAGGAGCCTCTGGGACAGCTTCAAGCGCACCAACATCAGAATTATAGGGGTGCCAGAGGATGAGAGAGAGCAAGATATTGAAAACCTATTTAAAGAAATAATGACAGAAAACTTCCCCCACCTGGTGAAAGAAATAGACCTACAGGTCCAGGAAGCGCAGAGAACCCCAAACAAATGAAAATGTTATGTAACTCAGATTTATATCTAATTCAGACGGTCTATACTCTGATTCATCTAAATTATATTTTTACCGTACTCAGTTTAAATAGCACTTTGATTAGTTCTGGAGAATCACATAAGAGTGACTATAGCTGAAAATAAGTAAATGCACCAAAAGCTTTGGTGAAACAGTTCCTCCCAGCTTCCCAAAGAGAAAGCTTACTTGGAGACAAATAAATGCAAAATGTGCTGCCTGGTGTTAGGAATCATTTGAGTCATTGATTGTTTTTAAGATGCCTCCCCTGTTCGCATGTAATATTAGAAAACACGTCATGAGGACCCTGTCAATTGAGTGTTTCTGCTTGCTAGAGAGAAATTGACCCTTTTATTGCTTTGTTTTCCTCCTGGAGCTAATGTTATGATCAATGGATTGCTGGTGTCATTTAGATAAATCATTTGGAAAAAGTAGTTCTTAAAATGTGGAAAAGCAAAAGGGAATGGGGAAGGTATAGAGTATTGAATCCAAGCTTTAAAAAGAACAAAAGAAAAGAAAAAGTAAAAGGCTGTAGAGAAATTGTTGAAGCCCATGCAGACCTTTCAAGTCTGTATGTTTCCTGAAGAGCAGTGTCATGACATCATGGCTGCAGTTGTCTAGAAGGATGCTAGTTTCCAACTCACATCCTCTGCCTTTCAAATGCATCCCAAACCCTGAGGAGAGGATGGTGCCTTATAGAACAGAAAGCTCAGGGTCAGAGTCCTCCAACTTCAGTTAGTACACACTCCAAGTTAATGAAAGCACCCTGTAGCAGTTTCCCGCAGGAATTCATTAGCTAGCTGCTGCCAGCTCCCTCCTCATTTTGGTTGGATGCTGGCATTCCCCATGAGTTATGACACTGACCATGTAGATATCTCATCAGTTTTATTGTAAGAATGTCACGGTGCCCTGGTGCAAACCTCCATGGAGTGTTGGCTCTACTAGAGGTGACCTATGGGACTCTGCAAAGCCACTCATCCTCCTGGTGCCTGGCTTTCCTGTCTTATAACAAGGGACCATTGCTGCGTTTTAGGGAACTGTGCAGAAGAAGAGTGCTTAGCGACCAAGTGCATCTTGATGAGAATTCACAGACCACCAGTTGTGTCCACTATTTAGGACAGAGGGCCCCATAGCCACTGTGCTGGCTGTTAAACATCCTTTTATTTGTTTACATGCCACTAGCTCTTTGAAACTATGGGTGAGCTAAATTGGTTTAGTTTGAATGGATCACAGAATTCTGCATCCATTCTTGATTTTCCGGTTTTCCCCCAATTCTAGAGGATCCCAAGAGCACTAGGGTTCATGCTGATGGTCTAACTCTTAAACATCTTCCCATTTCCTGTATCTCTTCTTGCTGTGCTCATGAGGAAAGACAAACTTTATCTTTTTCTGGTAACAGTCTTATTGAAATACTAGAGGCCCGATGCATAAAATTAGTGCAGGAGTAGGCCTTCCTTCCCCCAGCTGCTGGCACTGTCTTCCCTCTGGCACCCAGGACCTGGGTTTTCCTCGCAGCCCAGGCTTCGTCCGGAAGGTCGTCCAGAAGGATGTCCAGTCTAATTAGCATATTACACTTTTATTATTATAGACTAGAGGCCCAGTGCACGACTGATGGGGTCCTTCAGCCTGGCCTGCAGGGATCAGGTCGAAACCAGCTCTCTGACATCCCCCAAGGGGTCCTGGATTGCGAGAGGGTGCAGGCCAGGCCGAGGGACCCCACCAGTATACGATCAGGACCAGAGAGGGATTGCGGGAGGGCTCCAGGGCATGTCCGACCCATTTCACCCAGTCCTGATTGGCCAGACCCCAACAGCAAGCTAACCTACCAGTTGGAGCATCTACCCTGTGGTGTGTGTCTAACCTGTGGTGGTCAGTGTGTGTCATAGCAACTGGTCAAATGGTCCAACTGTCGGACACTTAGCATATTAGGCTTTTATATAGATAGATAAGTGACATACAGTTCACTTTAAAGTGTACAATTCAGTGTTTTCAGTATATTCAGAGTTGTGCAACCATCACCACAGTCAATTTTAGAACATTTTCATTATCCCAAAAAGAAACCTTTTAAGCAGCTCACCCCCACCCCCATTTCTTTCCTCCTCCACCCCCAGCCCTAAGAAACCACTAGGCTACAGTAAGTCCAGTTTCTGCAGCTTTAATCAAAATGACATATAAGGAAACCAGTTTTACCTGAGGCTAATTGATATACATGAGTTAACTTCCTACCGGCATCTCACCAACATAACAACGAAATGATCTTGAACAAAACTATTGTTATTCAAGGGCTTGCTGTACCTTCTATCTTCTATACATCTGATAACTCTGGGCATTTCATATAAGTGAAATCATATATATTTTACCTATTGTGTCTGGCTTCTTTTATTTAACATGTTGTTTTCAAGGTTCATCCATGTTGTAATATAGATCAGTACTTCATTCTTTTTTATTGATGAATAACATACCATTGTATGGCTATACCACATTTTATTGACCCATCAGTTGATGGACATTTGAATTGTTTCTACTTTTTTACTATTGTGAATAATGCTGCTGTGAACATTTGTGTACAAGTTTTCTCGTGAACTCATGTTTGTAGTCCTCCTGGGATCATACGGTAACTGTATGTTTCATCTTTTGAGGAACTGCTAGACCGTCTTCCAAAGTGGTTGTACCATCTTTCATTCCTACCAGCTGTGCATGAGGGCTCTGATTTTTTTCACCAACACTTGTTATATCTTTGTTATTACCTTTGTCATTTCACAAAGCTGTCCTCTCCTGGTTTGCTCATTGCTCCTCTTCCTATCCCTGAAGCTCTGGCAATGGTAATTAATGGCTGTCCCCTGTTGCTAGCCTGGGTTTTGTAACATTCCTGTTGGTTTCCCTAAGTCCTGCCCTCACCTTGTCCATAGTCCCCTTATTAAACCGTGATGATAGCCATCTGTTATATGCTGGGACCCCGAGTGATGTGGGGAGGGACCAGTTACTTCTCATCACCATTGGACTGTGCTTTCTGTGTGAGCTAAAGACTGCTTGCTACAGAGTTGTATGTGAACAGCAGCTGTCTGTGTCATTACAGGCTTATATAAAACTTGGGGACTACCAGAAGGCACTAGTGGACTGTGACTGGGCTCTGAAGGTAAGAAGGTGTTTCCTTCTCCACAGGATGGAGTGGGGTTGGCTTGGGCCAGAGGCTTCAGTACTGAAGTGAATAGAGGGGACCTGCCAATGTGTGGTGGTGGGCAAGGTAGAGGTACTGCCGTCAGAGCCTCAGTTTCCTCGCCTAGAAAACAGCTAGAATAGAATTGTCTTGAGGGTTAGGACAATGTACGTAAAGTACCTACTCTTAGAAAGTGCTCCAGAGAGGCTGCTGCTCATATTGGTTTCCCAGGGTTCAGGGCAGCGGGCACCCTCGGCTGTTGTGCCAGCAGACACGTTGCTTCCCGTGACAGTGGTCAGGCCTCCTCTTCTCTCTCCAGCCCGTGGGAGCTTGCTTCCACAGCGCTGTTCTTCCTCATCCTTCTGCGCTTTCCCCTCCAGCCCTAAGCATTTGGAAATGTATGCCAGCATCCCCTCTTTGCAGCGGATTAACCAGAAGAAAGAATTCCTGTTGTTCAGCCTGGATGCTAGTCAGGCCTCAGGCAGATAGTAGCATAATACTGTGCTTGGCATTTCCTCCAAAATCTGCCAAAATAGACAATTAAAGGTGGGGACTGTTGGGGAAAATATTAGAAGGGCTTTTAAAAGATAAATGTCATGGTCACCTCTTAGAGATATTATTTCAGATGACTAAATAGTTAAATAGTCCTTAATCCATATTCCCCTAAATTACTCTGCCATGGGGGCTTTAAACAACCAAAACCAGTGCTTCTCATACTTCTCATACTTCCTCGCCAACGTGCTGCCAACGGAATGAGCATGAGCCCCTGGAGGGTCTAGAGGCAGAGAGCATGACATTTCTTTTTGGACATGTTTTTTATCTTAAAGATCCATGTGAATTTTGCATTGCCATACAATTTATCTGTATGTCTTAATGTATGCATATTATTTTAAATAAAATCAAGCACAATTGAAGTGCCAGGAGAACATACCAGACTTATCTTGGGACTTGATTCCCCGAACAGCACCCCGACCGCAGCTGAACGGGCACGCGGCCCAGGCAGGAGCACACTGTGTCGCAGCGTGCTGGCCACACGCGAGCTTCCTGTTGCGCGGTAGGCCGGGAGACGGGAGTGGAGTGCAAGTTCGCCTTTGCTACGGTTCATAAAACCCCGGGGATCCTCCCGAGCCACCATCTGTGTGCTTGACTTCTTCCTCCCCTAGAGCATGTGGTGGCGACTCAGCCACGTCACAGTCCTCACGGTGCAGGAAGTGTGGGGCCCCACAGCTCCGGCACAGGCCACCAGCCTGCTTTGTCACTCCGCTGGGTCATGGTTTCTTTCCTACCATCACCTGTAAGAGAAGAGAGATGTCCTAACAATTAGAGGAAAACCCAGCATTGGCTGCTGGCTGGCCTTGAGCTGTCGCATTTGAGCCTCACGTCGTTCTGTTCTATTGTGTTCAGTGCCACTGTTATCCTTATTTTTCTGGCATGGAAACTGAGCCTCGGAGATTAGTGAAGTGACCTGCACAGGACCACACAGCGGATGTCGGTCTAACAGTGCACTGTGCTCTGAACCATCTACCAAAACACCTCTTCACAGGAGCCTTGAACCCACAGCCCCTGGCTGGGGGTCTCACTCCCTTCTGTGGAAGAAAGGAAATCGCCTCTTGGGGCTGCCAGGAATATCTTTTCTGATCTGAAAAGAACCAAAGCGGTAGTCACACCGTCTCGGACTCAGGGTAACACACTGGTCCGATCCCAAATGTCGACTGAAGCACAATGTAATTAACAGTGAAGCCCGGGTCAGAGCAGGCCCCGCAGAGCTGACATTAGAAGATGCTGACACTCAGCGGCCAACCTTGTTACAGGCCCAGCAAGGCTCCCAGTTGAAGCGTTGGGTAAACATGGGAGGGATGGAGAAAAATGTAAAGGGGTTCCGAGACCTAACAGTGGTGAGCTCTACAGCAAAGCCGTGAACTAAACAGTTTCACTCGCTTTCAAAGCACTGTATTGATAGTGGAGGCCAGTGCGCTCCACTGCTAATAGTATTAGTGCCTTCGTGCCCGTTGAGTGTTTCTGACAGCTCTGAATTGGCAGACAGGCCCAGGGTGATATTTCAAGACCGATGTTCCTGGTCAGGGAAGATCAGGCAGCAAAGCTGGTTTTAGCTGGGGTCAGACCGTCGCTCTCTCGGCAGAACACCTCCTGCACAATAAAGCTCGTCTTCCTCACAGTAAACATGTCTTCCTCACAATAAAACCGTCTTCCTCCACGGCAGGATTCCCTTCAAGGGGATATGAGATCATCCCTGTGACACTCCACACATGATGGAAGCAGAAGGAGAAAATCCACTAGCAGCCCTTTGCTCAGTGACTGAGGAAGGTGTCCCCGCGACACCCCTTCCTGGTGACCCACAGTGGGCATGGGCCAGGCGCTGGTCCTCCAGTTGTGACGGTTCTGTGGACACGCGGCTCTCATGAGCCATGGTGCTGCAGCTCCGCTTTCCCTTGGCCATGCCTTTCCCGCTTCCTCAACCCCACCCTCTCAGTCCTCCAGGGTTCAGTCCGCAAAGCTCCCGTTTCCTTTCAGGGTTCCACTCTCATCTCTGCAAGTGGCTCTCAGACCTACTTCCCCAGTGTGCGCCTCCCGGCTCCAGGGCTGTGTGTGTCTGCCTCCTGCCAATTTCCATCCGCTGGGCAGCATCTGAAACAAACTCTTCATCTTCCCTTCTGCCTGCTCATGGCACATGATGTCTTCCAGGCATGGGCATCCCAAAACGTTTGAACCGACATCCTCCTTCCCTTATCATTTATGGTTGGCTGATGCCGCTCAATTCTTTCTTTGACGGAGCTCTGGTGTCTGCACTTTTCCTTTCACTCCCACTGTCACTAGGACATCAGATGTTAGCCCTCCTTCTAAGTGATTGTTCTGGTCTCCTCCCTTATCTCCCTGCCTTTCCCTCTGGGCAGTTCTGCACGCTGCCTCCAGACCAACTCTCCAGCCACAGCCACGGAGCAGTCATCCTACCGAGCCCGGCATTCAAGGCCTCCATGTGGAGACACAGTCCAGCTCATCCCTCTCAGCCTGGTCTCCCCTCTGTCAGCACCTGCTTCAGGTTCTGGACTGTTCACTGCAGCTCCCTGAACTCTCTGACCTCGACCTTGCTCAGCCCATTCCCTTCATCCTCTCTCTTCACTTCTCTGTACTAGTACATTCAGGATCCCGCCCGGGTCCATCCTCCTCTGCTGCCCTTTGTGAGACTGTCTCTTCAGAGTGCATTTCCTTCTACTGAGCTGCTAGAGCACTTTTCTGCAGGAGATTTGGTATAATTTTTGAGCCTTTGATGCCTAATCAAATGGCCAGATTTTAAATCCCAGCTCTTCCACTTGGCATCGATGTGACCTTTAATCCTTAGTTTCCTCGTCAGTAAAATGAGGATAACTGTATGTCATAGATTTGTTTTAAAGTTTGTATGAAATAATTTATATGAACCATATGGGACTGTATGCAAATGCACTATTTATACTGTTACTGCCATTCACTCAGCAACAAGTCAGGAAACATTATTCATGGAAATTCATGCCTCTATAAAGGGCTCTCCAATAACAATTATTGTTACCTCTTCTATTGTTATTTCACTTTTCTTTACATTTCTCTCTTGTCTTGAAATGGGTTGCTATTGTAACTGCATCAGCAGCCTCAGATACCATCTCATGGGCACCATACTAGTGTTTGACAAGCATTTCCCCCTCACAACAACAGAGAGAGAGAGAGAGAGAAAGAGAGAGAGAGAGAGAGAGAGAGAGAGAGAGAGAGAGAGAGAATGAGAGGAGGAGGGAGGAGGGAGGAGGGAGGGAGAGGAAGAGAGACTGTTTATAATTATCTTCATTTTCCACATGAGGACAATGAGCATCAGGAAAGTCAGGGAACCTGGTCAACATCCCACTTCTGGTGAGAGCCACACCAGGGGTTCACCCCAGACGTTTTAGACCCTGAGCCTCGCTCTTTTTTTTTTTTTTAATTTCTCTTTGTTTGTGTGTTTTCTTGAGAACCTCACTCTTAACCTCTTTAAACTGAACCCTGAAGGGCATCTGACCCAGCCCAATGCCTTGTACATAAAGCAGATTCAATTACTTAATTGGATGTTTTAAATTGCAGTTTATGTCTTTGTGCCAGTCATTCCCTCTGGAGTAATAATTAGGAGCAGACAGGGGCAGGGCCCCTGTGTACATGGTTGAGTCTCAGCCTCGGGTGTCAGTCCTGCCCTTTGAAGGGGGCAACCCTCCTGGCCTTCAGGGATAAAAGGGTAAGCTCCCAGAGTATGACTGTGGTTTATTTCAGGGAAGGAACTTCCCAGGCCTAGATGTAATGATCATCTCGGCTGCTTACCGGAATAAAGTGTCCTCTCGTCTAACAAACCAGTGATTTTCAGGCGTGGCTGCATTTACATCACCTGGAAAGTTTAAAACAATAGATTGATGCCTGGGCCCACCCCACAGTACAGTGTAATTGATGTGGGGTTCAGCCTGGCCGGTAGCAGTTTTGTAAGTGTCCCAGGCAATTCCTATGACCTGTCAAGCCCAGGAGCTCTTCCAAACAAGGTTTCTGGTTTCTTTCCTGACGAGTGTCATTAAATGGAAATGCAGGCTGGCGGGCATCATTAATCAGTTTGCTAGAGAGCTTTCTCATGTATCCTGGCTCCTTGCAGGCATCAGTTAGCTTGGTCCCAGATGCATGGAAAAGGTTTAGTAGTCCACTCTGGGAGCTGTCCTGGGAACAGAGCCTGGCTTCTACAGTTAGCTGGGCAGTCAGGGGGTGCCAGTGACCGCAACCTTCTGAGGCGTCTGACTGGTCTTTCTCTTCCATGCAGTGTGATGAAAAATGCACAAAAGCTTATTTCCACATGGGCAAAGCCCACCTGGCTCTGAAGAACTACAGTGTGGTAAGTTCCTAGAGGAATGTAAGTGGCAGGTTTGATCGCAGCGATGCTTCCGACCCTCTTGTTCCTCCAAGTTGATTAAATATCAACCCACCTCTTAGTATTTTCCAGGGAAAATCTTAAGCTCTTAGAGTAGGGAAGGATGTTGAGGGTCCTCTAGGGCAGCCCCTGCTGTAGCAACCCCTCTGCAATATCTCACCAGTGTTCAGTCCTGGAGGAAGCATCTCTGGAGAGAAAGACAAAGGGAAAAAGATGAAAACAAAAGGCACTTGTAACCTTTTCACCCAAAAGTAATCATGCTGGTATATCTTCACAGTTCGCTGGTTTTTAGTCGATTCACAGAGTTGTGAAACCATCACTACAATAAATTTTGTAATATTTGTATCACTTCCCCCAAAGGCCATACATTCATTAGCAGTCACTCCCTTTCCCTCCACCCACACTTGGGCCCTAGACAACCACACTAATCTACTTCTGTCTCTATGCATTTGCCTAATCTAGGCTCTTCATCTAAGTAGAATTACACAGTATGTGGCCTTTTATGGCTGACCTCTTTGAGTTAGCATAATGTTTGCAAGGGTCATCCAAGCTGTGGTATCAGCACTTCATTCCTTTTATTGCTGAATATCCCATTGTATGGAGAGACCACATTAATAGGTTGTTTCCACTTTGGGCTAATGTGAACATCCAGGTACAAGTTTTTGTGAGACATTTGATTACTATCCTCTTGATTGTAAATAATACCTAGCAGGGAACCGCTGAGTCACATGATAACTGTTTTAACTCTGGAGGAACTGCCCAGTGTTTTCCAAAGTGGCTGCACCATCTTGATTCCCACCAGCAGTGTACGCTTCCAATTTCTCCACATTCTGGAGAAATAAAAATACTTGTCATTATCTGTCTTTTTTATTATAACCATCCCAATGGGTGTGAAATAGTATCTCATTGTGGTTTTGATTTGCATTTCCCTGATTTCTAATGATGTTGAGCATTTTTTCATGTGCTTACTGGCCACTTGCCTATCTTCTTTGGAGAAATCTCTCTTCAGATCCTTTGCCATATTTATATTATGGATAAAAGTCCCTTATCGAATAACTTATTGGCAAATATTTCTATCACTCTTTGTTTTGTCTTTTCACTTCCTTGATGGTGTCCTTTGTGGTACAAAATTTTTAAATTTTTTATTGATTTCAGAGAGGCAGGGAGAGGGAAAGATAGAAACATCAGTGATGAGAGAGAATCATAGGTTGACTGTCTCCTGCATGCCCCCCATTGGGGATTGAGCCCACAACCTGGACATTTGCCCTGAGCTGGAATCAAACCATGACCTCCTGGTCCATAGGTCAATGCTCAACTACTGAGCCACACCAGTTGGGCAAAATTTTTAAATTTTGATGAAGTATACCTATATTTTTCTTTGGTTGCTTATGCTTTTGGTGTCATTGCCTAATCTAAGATTTACTCCTATGTTTTCTTCTAAACATTTTATGGCTTTAGCTGTTAAATTTAGATCTCTGATCCAGTTTGAGTTGATTTTTGTATATGGTATGAGGAAGGGATCCAGCTTCACACTTTTCTATGTGGATATCCAGTCATCCCAACACCATCTTTTTGAAAAGACTATTCTATCTACCACTGAATGATTTTGCCACCCTTGTCAAGAATTGATTGATCATAAATGCATGGGTTTATTTCTGGACCCTCAATTTTGTTCCATAGATTTATGTGTCTATTCTTGTGCCTATACCACATTTGTTCATTTGTCTTGATTCCTTTAGTTTTGTAGTAAATTTTGAAATTGGGAAACAGTCTTCTAACTTTGCTCTGCCTCTTCAAGATTATTTTAGCTATTTTGGGTCTCTTGATTACCAACAAATTTCAGGATCAGCTTGTTAATTTCCACAAAGAAGCCAGGTGGAATTTTGATGGAGACTGCAGTGAATCTGTAGATCAATTTGGGGAGTATTGCCATCTTAATAATAGTTTTTCAATCCATGAACATGGAATGTTTTTCCATCATAAATACTAGATTTTTTAAAAAGAAATTGTCTTCTAAAAAATATTTGTCTTTTTAAAAAATATTTCCTTTGTTGCATTTTAATTATTACAATACAGTCTTATTGTAATAAGGTTAATAGTAGAAAAGAAAATATTAATTTCCCCTTCTCTACCAAATTCTATTCACTCATTTATTCATTTAATTATTTAACTCAGCAAATATGTATTGCATGCTTTCTATATTTCAGGTACTATTCTAGGCAACAAGAATACAGCAATAAAGAAAATAAAAATCTTTGACTTAATTACCTCATATTTTTCAGGTACAGGTGGCCAGGTGACAGAAACCAAATAAGTAGATGTGTGGTATGTTGGGTAGTGATAGTGTTATTGAAAAAACTTAACCAGGAAGCAGCAAAGGTGTAGAGTGGTCAGGAAGGACCTCTCTAAAGGAAAGGAGGTAGTGAAGTAAAGAAGTGGATGTATAATGGGGGAGTGGGCCAGGTGAAGAGAGAGCCAGAATGTAGCAAGCCAGGAGGAGAGTGATAAGAGATGAGGTCAGGCAGGTGATGGGGTAGGTGGGGGCCTGATCCCCTCGGGCCTTGCAGGCTTTGGGAGGATCTTGGGTTTTACTTTGAGTGAGCTGGGAACCATCAGAAGGTTTTCAGGAAAGAAGTGAAATGATCTGATTCATGTTTTAATGGCTCACTCTGCTGTATTTGAGCCGTTAAGTTGAGACTATATTTTGACATGGTAATAAAGAACAGAACCAGTAATAAGGCTGGTTAAATAAGTAATAATTTGCAACAAATTATCCAAGTGAGGTGATGATGGCTTGTACCGGCTTGGTGATGATGAAGGTGGTGAGAAGTGATGGGATTCTGGACATATACCGGCAGGGAAGCCAGCAGGAATTGCTGGTAGATTAGATCTAGGGTTAGAAAGAAGTTGGATACAGGATCACTGTCCTAGTCCTTTGGGACTGCTATACCATAGACCAGGTAGCTTAAACCACAGACACTTATTTCTCACAGTCTGGAGTCTGGGAAGTCCAAGATCAAGACCCCGCAAATTTTGTGTCTGCTTCCTAGTTCATAGGCAGCCAGAGAGTGAGCGAGCTCCCTGGGGCCTCTTAGTGAGGACACTAATCTCGTTCTTGAGAGCCCCATCTTCATGACCTAATCACCTCCCACAGGCCCCACCTCCTAAGTCATCCCCTTGAGGGTTTAGGTTTGAACATAGGAATTTTTAGAGACACAAACATTTAGCCCATAGCAGTTACCGTGTTTGATGTGTATCCTCTATCCTGCGACATTGTTCTTTACTAACGTGGTTTTTCTTCAGTTTATTTCTTAATCCTAATCTTCTAAACAAGCCTTGAGCCTTCAAGAAAGCTCAGAACTGTTTTGTTTTGTTTTCCCTGTGCTTTTTCTCTTGGTACCCTCTGGACAGTTCTCGATATTCCTGAGGACAGCACTGCCCTAAACCCAGCATCGTGCCTCATGAACTAGAATCTTTCTTTTTCCAGAAACTTTCTGTCCAACACTTTCCTCAGTGAGAGCCCCTCACTCAAGCTTTCAAGCTGACTCTATATGCCCGGCTCTTTGCAGCCCTGTACCCTTTCAGTAGGCATCTCTTGTTTCCTGTTCCCAATCTCTGTCAACAATGTCTCCAACTTTGTTTATTTCCTGACTCCCTTGGGCATATCTGACAGGTAGCCTCCTCTTCTCGCCCAGTGCAAATATCATATCTAAATTTTGTATTTAACCTCAGCCAGACATGATCCACAAGGATTTAGGAATGGAAATTTTCTATCACAGGTCATATGACAGCACTACTTTTTAAAAATAAATTTTGAAATAATACCCATTGCTTCGTAGACCCAGAGAAGCCTAAAAAAAAAAAATGTCAGATGCATGCTGTGCTCACATGCCTGCCTCCTGTGCTGGGAGCAGGAGGGACCAGAGGAAATAATGAAGCCAAGTCCTGTGATACCTGGTGTCTTTCTTATAATCACCTTTGCCCACTACCCACTTGTCAAGGTCTTGTGTTTGTTTTTTCCAGTCTAGACAGTGTTTTCAGAAGATCTTAGAAATAAACCCCCAGCTGCAGACACAGGTGAAAGGTGAGAATGTTCCTGCTAATGGCCTGTCTTCTGCTCTGGCCCTCGGCTGCCTTCATGCCTTCTCTCCGCGGCTGCAAAGCCCTGCCTTGCCTGCATCCCATCCTCTGTGTTAACAGGCTGCCTACGCCTCTCTCCTCTGCTCACCAACTCAGATCTTTGCCTTCCTCCTTTGTACACACCACCCTTTAGAGCCTTCTGGATAGGGAATTCTGTTTTTGCATCCCAAGATTTTAAAGTTCTGGGTGCAGACTGTACACTTTTCCTAAAATTCTCCTTGCTGAAGATGAGTTAGAGTTATTTTAATGCTTATGCCTCTCAACGCCCCATCCTCACAGAGGTCACTCCTTGTGTGGTAGCATTGGTGCCAGGGTTGTTTTGTTTCCCTTCTTGTTTGCTAGATTACCTGGATCAAGTGGATCTTCGGGAGAAGGCAGACCTCCAGGAGAAGGAAGCCCAGCAACTGCTGGACTCAGGAAAGAGCACAGCTGTGACGACCAGGCATCTCCTGGGGACTCTCTCCAAGCCCGACCAGAACCCCTTGTTCTACGCGGGGGGCATTGAGATCCTGACTGAGCTGATGGAGGACTGTAAGCCAGAGACGTGTGGCCTCATGAATGTTGTCGGTGTGAAGGGGCAGAGTTTAGAGGTCAGAGACTCCCTTCCTTCCATGAATATTGATCAAAGACCTACAATAACGTAGGTGGGAAAGGGGGTGCACAAGAAATATACCTTCACCCCCTCTCCAGCCTCTCCTCAGGGCATGTGTACACTCAACATCCATACAATAAACACCACACACATACAGTACAACACAAAACACACACACAGCATGCCTTCATTCTGTGTACACTTCTGACATCAACACACAACACAGCATGTACACACAACACATCACACCATATACTTATATCCACAGAACATATACTGCATCTATTCACCTCTCACACATGCTCCACACTTCCTACACGTATCCACACACCCTTTGCATATCCCACACAATTCCCCATATATACCCAACCACCCTGTCTGACCCCCCCACATCTCCCCCAACCATAGAGAAATGGATAAATGGTAAGGTTCACCCCAGTTGCACTTAATGGTTGCTTAGGAGCTGTAAACAGTTTCAAAGCAACCATCAGTTCCCCTACTGATGAGCACCACACTGTTCTCTTTCATCAGTCCCTGTACACAGCGGTCCCAGTCCCTGTCCACAGTGGTCCCAGTCCCTGTACACAGCGGTCCCAGTCCCTGTCCACAGTGGTCCCAGTCCCTGTACACAGCGGTCCCAGTCCCTGCCTGTACGCAGCTGTCCCAGTCCCTGTCCGCAGTGGTCCCAGTCCCTGTCCGCAGTGGTCCCAGTCCCTGTACACAGCGGTCCCAGTCCCTGTCCACAGTGGTCCCAGTCCCTGTACACAGCGGTCCCAGTCCCTGTCCACATCGGTCCCAGTCCCTGTCCGCAGCGGTCCCAGTCCCTGTACACAGCGGTCCCAGTCCCTGTCCGCAGCGGTCCCAGTCCCTGTCCACAACGGTCCCAGCCCCTGTCCACAGCGGTCCCAGTCCCTGTACACAGCCGTCCCAGTCCCTGTCCACAGCCGTCCCAGTCCCTGTCCGCAGTGGTCCCAGTCCCTGTCCACAATGGTCCCAGTCCCTGTCCACAGCGGTCCCAGTCCCTGTACACAGCGGTCCCAGTCCCTGTCCGCAGCGGTCCCAGTCCCTGTCCGCAGCGGTCCCAGTCCCTGTCCACAGCGGTCCCAGTCCCTGTCTGCAGCGGTCCCAGTCCCTGTACACAGCCGTCCCAGTCCCTGTACACAGCGGTCCCAGTCCCTGTACACGGCCATCCCAGTCCCTGTACACAGCGGTCCCAGTCCCTGTACACAGCGGTCCCAGTCCCTGTACACAGCCATCCCAGTCCCTGTACACAGTGGTCCCAGTCCCTGTACACAGCGGTCCCAGTCCCTGTCCACAGCGGTCCCAGTCCCTGTACACAGCGGTCCCAGTCCCTGTCCGCAGCGGTCCCAGTCCCTGTCCACAGCCGTCCCAGTCCCTGTCCGCAGCGGTCCCAGTCCCTGTACACAGCCGTCCCAGTCCCTGTACACAGCGGTCCCAGTCCCTGTACACAGCGGTCCCAGTCCCTGTACACAGCGGTCCCAGTCCCTGTCCGCAGTGGTTCCAGTCCCTGTACACAGCGGTCCCAGTCCCTGCCTGTACGCAGCTGTCCCAGTCCCTGTCCGCAGCGGTCCCAGTCCCTGTCCGCAGCGGTCCCAGTCCCTGTACACAGCCATCCCAGTCCCTGTACACAGCGGTCCCAGTCCCTGTCCACAGCGGTCCCAGTCCCTGTCCGCAGCGGTTCCAATCCCTGTCCACAGCGGTCCCAGTCCCTGCCTGTACGCAGCCGTCCCAGGCCCTGTCCACAGTGGTCCCAGTCCCTGTACACAGTGGTCCCAAAGCTCCTCTTCTCAGCCGGGGTGGTGACAGCTGGACAGCAGGCAGTTCAGGAGTCTGATGTGGGCTTCTCTGACATTGCTTTAGGCGCAGAGCGAACTTTATTCAGAACACACAATGGATTCAGTATCATCAGTGAGAATGAAGTCATAAGAAGGTAGGCATGTTTGTAAAGACAGCCAGTGTCAACGCAAGGAAAGCCCAGCATTTCTCATGGAAGCAGACACTAATGACACGGGCAGAGACCTCACTGGATGAGCCCCGCGCAGTCACTGTCGGTGGCCCCTGGCCAGTGCAGAGGTGCTGTGTGCGCCCTGGAGCCGGAGCCTCGGGTAGTGTTAGTTATGCCACAGTGACTGCAGAAAAGGCCCCAGAACCTCCCAGGGCTTCCCCAAGCACTTCAAAGTCCGAGAGACGACGGTGCTGCTGGCTTCTCACCAGCTGCAAGATTGCTGTTCATTTCCTCCGGGAATTTTGCTGATCATATCAGGAAATGAGGTCAGCTGAGTCCTGGCTGCTCCCATCTATAATTTCATCTGATAAAGACCCATATGATAGGAGGCTGTTTGCTAAATTTATTTTTATTTTATTTTGTATTTCAGTTATTCTAGTGTAATTCCTGAGGCTTAGGATGCTACTGTGAGTTGGAGTCACCAGCACATGTTTGCCTGCATGAGGAGGCCCATGTACCCTAAGTGGTGTGCTGGCCACCATGCACAGGTCGTGTGTGACCATGGCCCTTGGCCCCTGGCTCAGACCCTCGCTGCCTCCTCTCCCCGCCCCCAGAGTGGCCTCCTCAGCCTGCATCCTTGTCTGGAGCTCTCAGTCCAGTGCCTCACGGTCCTTTGGTCCTGGTGACCTGCAGCTCTGGATTATAGAACCACTTCTCACCCCATACTGTAGGCCTGTTGGTGCAATGAAACCAGCTGAAAGGAAGATGAAGACTGAGTTCCAGTTTTTACATTGTTCCCCCTTGTCCATTCCAGGTGCTTTTCCACAGCAGGAAAGGATGCAGTGGCAGAGACCCTGTGTGTGTCTGTTCTCAGGCTCTGGCAAGCTGTGTGCAGGGGGAACGGTAAGCCTGGCCTATCACACCTCATCACCCTTTTTTAAAAAAATATATATTTTATTGATTTTTTACAGAGAGGAAGGGAGAGGGATAGAGAATTAGAAACATTGATGAGAGAGAAACATCGATCAGCTGCCTCCTGCACACCCCCTACTGGGGATGTGCCCGCAACCAAGGTACATGCCCTTGACTGGAATCGAACCCGGGACTCTTCAGTCTGCAGGCCGACGCTCTATCCACTGAGCAAAACCAGTCAGGGCACTTCATCACCCTTAACGCCCATTAATGCAGGAGCTGCGTGGGCAGACAAGTTTGTTCCCCCAGAGGCTGGGCCCTGGAGACTCGATGTCTGGACCTTCCCTCAGAAAAAAGCATATGGGTCAGAATCAAGGCCTGCACCCACTTATGTCCCTGGCACCCTTGCAGCGCCATCCGCATGGCCGAGGCCACTGTCAGCGTGATGGGTGGTCTCAACTGGGGTTTTTGCTGACCACAGGACCCAGTTGAGCATCATGAGCTTTACAGTCTGCCGGGGCTGACCAGCAGCCCCTGAATGACGGGTGAACAGATTACTCAGACACAGGTTGACTGTGTAAGAGAGGGCTCAGGGGCCCCAGGCTTTAGTAGCCAAAGGAGCCTCTATTGTCTGCCTCATTAGGCCTTTATTGGAATTTTTATCTTTAGATACAATCAGTGGGGTGAGTAATCTTGGGAGGACACGTGTTTACACTGTCCTCTAGGCAAGGGCATTCAGGGGTTAAGCATAAGGATTCCAGTAAACACCTGGGGCTCTGCAAAGCACAGACTTGTTTGGAAAGGTCAAGGACTAATTAGGGATGCCGCTAGATACTCCCCTGTCTCCCCTAAGTAGGAATTCCAATAAACAGGGCAGGCGGCAACTTTCCAACCAAGTCCTGTGTGCTCCCCAACAGCGGTCATCTGCCACATCTGTGACACTGATCCGTGTGCAATAGCAGGACAGTAACGTGTGTGAGGAATTCGCTTGCCTTCCAGACTCAGCGTTTTACATAGCAGCTTCTTCTGGGGTTTAATAAGTCTATAGAATCTGATCACTTTTGTGACCTCGATGTAAATAAAAAATTGAACCATTTATATTATTTTTTAAAAGATTGTATTTTTATAGGAAAAGATCTGACCTGGGACATAAACTATGAAATTAGAGTAATGGTAGCTGCGTCCCTTTTTCACAGGCTCCTGTGAGAAGCCAGCAATAGAGCTTGTGAATGTAGCTTGTCAACTGCTGAATATGAGATCATGTAATTTTTTTTCTTGATTTATTAGAGTGGAGGAATCATAGGTCCTAGAAAACTAGAGAAGCAGGGGCCTCTTTCCTGAAGGGCATGATACTCAAACTAGTATCATGAGCGAGGGACTGCTTACAGGCCAGGACATGGGCCTGTGTGTGCACGTTGCCGAGTGGGAGGGAAAAGCCAGGTGCAGTGTGGGGTGGGTCACACTGGGAACAGGATTCATGCAGGGGTGCGGAGCAGCTCCTTTCGGGGAGGCTTACCGGAGGAGGACACGAGATGGGGACTTTTGTTTTCAGCTGTTCTCCTTCTGTAGTTATTTCAGTTGTTCACAGTCAGCTCCTGTTCCAGAATAAGAAAAAATACATGAGCTGGACAAACGGGTCTGTTTCGGCGCTTAACCTCATCCTCCACCTGCACCCCTGATGCCCTCACATTCACACGCCTGGTTAGAAGTGACCCAGCGAGAGGGGAAGACCCAGGACCACTGCCTGGAGTGGCTTCCCGTGTGGGGAGGGGGCACGCTTTACACTTGAGCGTTCTCATGGGACAGTCTAGTTTTCCCACAAGGACTCTGGCCATTATATGAAGTGGAAGGTCTAAAGACAGTTCAGCTGCTTTCTTCCCCATTCCTCACATTTCCACATCACATACCAAGGAGCCTTTGACAAGAATGATACTAATGTACGTGCGCCAGTCCCTGCTGTAAGCGCATCACGTAGTAACTCACTTAACCCTCTGTTAGCCGTCACCTTCCTCAGTTCACTGATGAGGGAGCAGTTGCACAGGAGTTACTAGATCGGCTGAGGTCATCCACCTGGTCATTGAGACCAGCAGTCTGCTTCTAGAGTCCGTGCCCTTACACTTCACTGTCCCAGCTCTCAGATGAGTGGAGAAGGATTGGAGGTGGGCACAGAACTGTAATCGCTGCCCGCGGTGCACAAGGCGAACGCTCCCGTGTCTTGCAGAGGAAAATGAGCGCCAGCTCGTGACACACCCTGGCTCAGGCAGGCTGCTGCCCTCCCTCTTGGCCTCCGGGGTCCTGCCCATCCGGCAGCAGAGCCTGGCCCTGCTGCTGCAGCTCGCCCAGACGAAGACCGGCCGGAGCCTGGTCATCAGCCACCTGGACCTGACCCGGTAAGGAAGATCCGCCTGCGTGTCAGAGCATCACCTGCCCAGTGAAGGCAGCCCGTCTCCCTCTCACCTCTCTGACAGGAGAGGTGCCATCAGACTTTTCCTCAATCTGCAGTCATTTCCTCAGTCCCTTCATCACATGTTTTGTTTGGTTTTGGTCTCTTTGCGTAAGTGTAGCTATAGGATCGTAAGCTTCTCTCCCCTAAGCTGTCTTTGAATTGCTTGGGTTTCAATTTTAATTTTTCCAGTGTCTTGGAGAGTGGCATTCATGATCATCCTGGGAGTCTGCCTGCTCTCTTTAAATAGCCAAAAAGCCTTAGCTTATTACCTCAGTGCCTGCTGTTCTCATTAACGCCCACCCCGACTAGACCAGGAAGCGAGGAATGTGCTCTCTGCAGTGAAACGAGACGGTTTGCAGCAGGCCAGGCTGCAGGCAGGCCCCGGGACCTCGCAGAAAGGGCTCATGCACATTCCTCCCAGGTGCTTTTCCCTATACAGTGCATTGACGGAACAAGTGGACAGTGACGGGAACTAGGAGGGCCAGTGCCACTTTGTGGAAACAGTGAGGTTTTAGGTGCCAGCAGTCATGACCCCAAACCCTTGCTTGTCTCTGTCTGCTATGTGACCCAGGAAAGTTACTTAGCCTTGATGAACCTGGTGTCTTCCCTGCTTCACAGACTTTTGGTGAAGCTTCAGAGTGGTGATGTGTGGATGCCAGCTAAACATTTTCTGTTGCATTCGACAGAACACGTGACCAAGAGGAGCTGGTCTTCTTTTCTCACGTAACAGCAGAGACCAGAGGTGGCATTGGCTGGTGGAATGGCTTCAAGGTGTCAGAGTCAAGGGCTCTGCCCTTCTCTTGACCCTTCCCTCATGGTCACACAGGCTGCTGCCACTCCAAGCATCACCTCCCCCTTTAGGACAGTTTAGCACCAGCTGGGTCTGTCCCTTTTATCAAGAGAAACAACTGCTTCTGTTTCTCTTTGGTCACGTGCCACCTGTGATTGGAAAATGGTTCCTGCTTCCACAGTCGAGTCAGTCAGGGTAGAAGGTGATGGCAGGGTTTCCGTGGGGATCGCCAGCAAACAGCTTCAACCACAGTGAGGGAAGCAGCCAGTGTCATGCCTGACACATGGTGCGGACTCAACAATAACTTGATACTCATTTGCTCTCTCCAGGACCCATGCTCAGGTCCTAAACGGATGCGAAAGTGCATTTACTGTGCATTCGATCATTTTCTGATGTGTGGTCCATCTACAGGGACAGCTGCTTGCCAGCAAAGCAGAAAGCGCCAACAGTAAAGGAGATGAGGAGGGTGGGAAGGGGCAGCTGCTCTCTTCAGTCCAGTTAGGATGTGCACTCTCACACAGCGAGAAGCCTCGTTGTTCATGGCTCCCGGGACTAAAAGCAAGATGATCTTAGGCTGCCAGCTCAGCTCCTCCTCTGTGCTACTCAGGTTCATCAGCGTTGTCTTTAAGAGCAACGAGAACAGATTTCAATTGGCGGAGGAAGAATCGGAACTAACTGTAAAATAAGTGATTTGTGACAGAGGAACACTGAATTCACTCCCGAGGACGTGGGGGAGTTGCAGAAACTTGAAGTTGCCTGGGGTGTCGTCAACTATCCAGCCCAGCCCTGCCCAGCACCGATGTCCTCTCGGGGGCATCCCAGTACGTACATGGTGTGCACGCTGCCCTCCAGGGGAGATTCCAGCTTCGAGTCAGTTTGATTAGGATGGACACTATCACAGCTGATGGACTGGGGTCTTTTCCCAGCTAACAAAAGGATGTGGCTCTCACCTCCCACAGGATGTGCTGTTGATGGAAAATTACCTCCTTTCACTGAGCACAAACTGCCTGCCCCATTCTAGTCTGGGACAATGCTGCTGCCGATACCGAGGCCTCGGTCAGTCTATCGAAGGCCTACAGAACACGTCATCTCTCCCACTTTGCAGGGCGTGAAGGAGCCTGGTCTTTTCCATGTTAAGCATCCTGGTTTCCCTCTGGACTTGACTTCCAGATCCTGCCTAGACAAGCAGCTGAGTAAAGGCAGTAGCACAGATGTGGGTGTCCTCTCCTCACACCCTCAGCACTCGCTGTGAGGACCTGCTGGCAGCCCCCAAATGTGCCCTGCTGTCTGATGCCACGTCGTCTTGGTGAATGCTGTGTGCTGTGCCGGGAATGCTCTGCTCCCCGTGTGCCTGACACTGGCCTGCAAGCTCCTTGGACAGTGCCCAGCAGGTGTCGATTGAATGAACAACGGAACAAAAAGCCAGCACTACACTTTCAAGTGAGAGCTAACATATTATCTGCTCTTTGAAGCCTTCATCGCCATCCTTCCACACCTCCCACCAGGTGGACTCTGTGCCCACTCTGTGACATGAATTTGTTTCTGGCATATCACCCAAGTGCTTAGTCCTGCCCTCCCTGGACTGAGCACAGCACTGAGCGCACTGTGGGTGCCGAGTATGGGCCTGTTGGTTGCACAAGTGGCCCCTGCTTCGTCCTGGGCTGGTCAGTCTGTCAGGGCAACCTGAGGTTGCATTAGCTTTTTTTGGCAACTCCACCGGACTATTTGCTCATAATGGGTTTGCAGTTACCCAATAACCCTTGAATCTTGTTCATATGAACTAGTTATAAACCAGGTCTACCAATTTTGTTATTTATGCAGAATTTCCAGCTCTAAGTGTAGGAGTTTGAGTTTAACTGAATTAAATTTTGTCTGATATACTCAGCAGCCTGTCAAAATTTTGTGAAGTCTTTATTCCATCCCTCACCTTATTAGGGAGCCCTCCTACTTTAGTCATTAGCAGATTAGTAGCATGCCATTTAGATGTCATTTATGTGACTGAACTTGGCCGAGCCAGAGTCACATGGCAGAAGCTCCAGCAATTCCTTCCTGTAGTCGTCTGATAATCAGTGGACTTGGGTTAAAACTGTTCAACCCTGGGACTGCACATGGTGGTAGAGCCACTCTGCAGGAGAGTCCGTGTCATGGATGGCCAGGAGCTGGGCTTCCTGGGGGGCATGGCAGGGCCACTCCAGCTACCTCACCTGCATCTGGCTCCTTCCTGGCCTCCTTGCAAGGTGTCCCTGATGGAAATGCTGTCAGTTGGAGGACAGCCCACTCTGAGGTTGTACTGGATTTTTTGCAGATTATTAGAAGCCCTGGTGTCATTTCTTGACTTCTCAGACGAGAGGGCCACCTCAGCCATGGGACTGCTCACAGACTTGGCGCTGGAAGAAAGGTAACATTTATTTACAGAAGTTGACATCTCTCCTTAACTGTTGCTGACTGTCTGATAGTTTAGAATGTGCAGCATACAGGGAGGCTGGCCAGTGGGCATCGCAGGCCCACTGAGTAGGAGGGCTGATGCCTTCCTGGGCCACGGTCAGCACTGCTGTTCCAGCCCCTCGGGCCAGGGGACCCAGTCCTCAACGGGGTTGGAAGCAGTAACGTACTTAAAACACATTAGACAAGCCTACTGTGTGTTGGGGAAGCTTCTTTCCCTTAATCAGCACCTAAAGGGAACTGCCTAGCAAATGTGTACTGAATAGATGTGAGTGAGGGAGAGAGTGCACAGTAAAATGGAGCCTCCTCTTGGGTTGCCAGTGGCATTATGGGTAACCATCCCCCCTGCTCTTTTTGGCTTAACTACTGGGGAATTCAGTAAAGGTCTTACATTTTTCATAATTCTTAAGTGTTGTTGTTTTTCTTCAGTGTCTCTTGTTTTTTTGTTTAATTTCCTCACCACCTTTAGAACATCGTGCTTAGAAATGATCGTGAGAGAGTGCTGCTTTGCTCCTGGACAGGCCCTCGGCACAGGCTGGGGACTCAGTAGCTGCTCTGGCGTGTGGAGATGCATGTGTAGCATGTGGAGACATGAGTGTAGCATGTAGGGATGTGTGTGCCATGTGATGTGTATAACATGTGGAGACATGTAGCACATGGATATGTGTTTGTAATGTGGAGATATGCGTAGCATATGGAAATGTGTGTAGCGTGTGGGTGTGTAGAGGTTTGTAGCATATAGAGGTATGAAGCATGTGGAGACGTGTGTGTAGTGTGCAGAGATGTGTGTAGCATGTGGAGACACGTGTAGCACTGGAGGCACATGTGTAGCTAGGTCTCCTTATGGCTGTGCCGAGAAACCATGCTTGCACTGCACTTCCTGTTTACACAGCACACAGCGCAGACTCGGAGCGAGGGGAGGGCAGGGCGTTGGGAAGTCAGTTTGGCAGAGCCTAGGGATTCCAGCGCTTTCTGCATCAGTGCTGCCATCTGAGACCTGATGTTTAACATCAAAGGCAATTCTTCAGGCTTGGAGAGATGAAAGCCGCGTCATGTACCTGGAGCATTCTCTTCTGTTTCCGAATGAGTCATCCAGGCACATGGCAAACACAGGGGCCCAGAGGTTGTGTCTGTTCACCCCGTCCCCTGAGACTGCATTTCTCCTATAGCTTGTACAGTGTGGAGCTAAATCACGGCTGGTGTTCTCCCAACAGATTCCAAGTCTGGTTCCGGGCCAACCTCGCAGGTGTTCTCCCGGCTCTCAGAGGCGTGCTGGTGAGCAGGTCTTCGTTTCATCATCTCTGACTCTCAGGGGCATGAGCAGTTTAAACACAGTCACACTCCAGAGCGCCTGTTGACTCTCAGGTTCAGGAATCATTTATTCACAGCTGGAATTTACACAGTTTTTATTAAAACAGCGCTAGCTGGGCCAGGTGGAGAGGGCACATGCAGGCTCATCACGCGGGAGGAAGAGCTGGATGTGGCCTCTGCGTCTGGGGTGAAGGCGAGGGAGTGTTCAGGTTCATCAGTCCCCTGTGATCCCCAGTCTGGTCATAAGGACTGTGTGCCACCCTGAATGAAAGCTGTCCAGGTCAGGAGGGCGAGTGTGGCGATCTGAGCTAGGGAGGCAGGGAAGAGCAAGGGGGTGGGGGAGTTCGAGGAGAGCATGCTGGGACTAGCCCCTGTCCCTGGGGAGCCACGTCTCAGGGGACCTGAGCACGTCCACAGCCCAGTCTTTCAGACGTGGAAGTGGAAGCTCTGTTGTCCAGGCTGGTTGGTGGTACCCCTGAGATGAGCTCAAGGCCTCTCTGTTCCAGGCCACATGCTTTGGGGTTAACCCATGTGCCTCCACTCTGTTGCCAGCATGACCCCGTTGATGCCAGTGTGATGCTGCACTCTCTGGTTCCCAGGCGTTTTGGTGCACGAGGGGTGCGTCTGGGGATGATGCTGGCATCATCTGCCTGCTCTCTGCACACTTGCTTTCTCATGATTCTCTTTTAGAAGAGAGACCCCAAGGAAGTCAACACCTCAGCTCTCAGCCAGTGTGTTGCCATCATGGGGAGCCTCAGTGCTGACGCTGCCACCAGAAGACAGATGTCTGCCTCTGAGGAATTTGGGGATGCTTGCTTGGGCCTCATGGTATTTTAACTTTTCTCCTTAAGGCTGGTTTTCTATCTGCTTTGGGGGTATTGGCTTCTTCTTCATTATCTAAATCTTCTAAAAAATTTTGTTTGAGAGTGCTGGAGCCAGTGGCTTCTTCCTTCTATAACCACAGATTTTATGGGCGGCTGACCTCAGCAAGCCTCCACATCATGTCTCATTCACCCTCGAGAGCCTTGAAGGCTTTGCTGGCGGAGTTGGCTTGGCCACCCATTTGAGCAGCTCAGTCTTCAGTGTAAACACAGGACCAGGTTGAACCAGGGTCACATGGCAGAGGCACAAGAGACACCTTGGGAGTGTCCCACACTAACACTAACTCATAGACTGGTCTCTAATCTTCCAGCATCACATAGGTTCATGACATTGGCAATGTAAGCAGTGTCAGTAATGCTGAGACCGTTGCCAAGGGAAGATGACTTTAAAAGCTACAAGGCAACCCTGGCTAGTGTGGCTCAGTTGGTTGGAGCATTGTCCCATACACCAAAAGGTGGCAGGTTTGATCCCCAGTAAGGGTGTATACCGGAGGCACCAGATAGATGTGTCTCTCTCCCTCTCCCTCTCCTTCTTCCTTTCCCTCTCCTTTCCTCTCTCTCTAAAATCAACTAAATATAGAAATATATATTTATATATATATAAGCCTAAGCAACTGTTATGCACACTGACCACCAGGGGGCAGATGTTCTACACAGGAGCTGCCCCCTGGTGGTCAGTGCGCTCCCACAACCAACTTCCTACAGCCAGCCACCCTCCTGCAGTCCCTCCACTCTGGCCTACTGGCCCAGTCGGCCTGATTGCTAGCCAGGCCGAGGGACCCCACCCATGCATGAATTCATGCACCAGGCCTCTAGTATACTAGTTTGTGTGTGTGTGTAGAAGCTGCATGACAAAAAGGTCATGGGTCACCTTGTTTTGTTTTCAAAGGCCAGGTGTGAGGAGGATGTAGATCTGTCCAGAGACGTCATATATGCACTCCTAGGACTGATGATGAACTTGTGTCTTCAGTCCCCCTTTGTCTCTGAGGTACAGTATTCTTTTCTCCCTACCTTGAACCCTGGAACAACGTAAACACATTCTGTTGCATAGACTGTTCTCATTTCCGCCAAGAGCTAGAAGCCCCTAGAGCCAGCACGGGCAGTGGGACTGGGAAATGCTGGGAGACACTCTCTCTGCTTCACTGAGGGATAGATGAGTCACTTGGTCAGGTGCTCATTCAGAAAAAATTGAGTGTGCAGGATGAGCACACTGCTAGGTCCTGCATTTACAAAGTCAGATAAAATGTGGTTCCTGCCCTCAAGGTATGGTGCCCTGTAGTGAGGGGAGATCAGTAGGTGTTGTGAGGGAATGTGGTGGTGCACAGGAGGGTGGTCAGCTCTCATCAGGACTCAGAGGGGAGCTCCATCAAGGACTCTGATGACCAGAGCATTCACAGCCCCTTCTCTGTCCCCATGGCTGCAGGTCTGGGCCACGGAAGTGAGCAGGAGGTGCATGTTGCTGCTGAACAGCCAGGATGGAGGAGTCCTGACAGTAAGATCAGGAGAGCCAGAACAGCATCCTTTGTTCTCCTTCGTGTTGTTGTAATGTCGGTGCATCTTACCCTTCCAAAGGCATCACATTTTTTATATTCTGCCAACTCTCTGAGGGATGGGGAGGGCACGCTCCTCAGAATGGTGCCCATAATTACACAATCCTCAGACTTGCCTTCAGCTTCATGGGATTTGGTGAGCACTGCCCAGCACCCATCTGTGGAGCCGCCTAGAGTCCAGGAGCCCTTTGGTGTCTGGTCTGGAACTTATCTGATTTGTCCTATTTCAAGATATCCTTGTGCAAATGGAATGGGTCCTGCGATTTTATGTAAAATCTCTTTTCCATGATCAACAGACCCAAACCCAGGTTTTCAAGCCAGTGATCCCAGAGGCTGTTTAAGCATGCTGGCCTTAGCCCCCTTGGAGGTAGATGCTGGAATGGCTTTTAAACTCCATTTCCATTTGGATAAGAAAACCGAGAAGGCGGATGGGGAGCACAGTGCGTCAGGGGATACTGATGTGGTTCAAGAGGCTATTTGCCAGAATCCCAGGATGTGGTATAAATGCACATTAAGAATTACCCCAATTTTCCCGCCTATTAGGGCCCCAAAGCCTAGAGAAATCACTGGAGTCACATTCAGGGTATCCTGGGAAGCCAGCCCTTCAAAGGTCACAGACTGGAGGCTGGTTCCAGGATGGGGGTAAAGGTTCTAAGTAGACCAAGAGCATCCTCTTTGGAGCTGGCATGCCTACACTTCCCTGAGGTCAGTTCCGGCATTGTAGGGGGTTTTTAACCTGGGCTCTAGGAACGCATGGCAGGTCTGCAGTTCCTTGGAACCCACTGCAATTGTATAGAAAATTCTGAGTGTATGTGCATTTTCATGGGTGGGGGGCAGCACAACTTCCATCAGATCCTCAGAAAGGATCCATGACCCCCAAAGTGGTGAGCACCATTGTTGTTGGGTATTGGATTTTCTGGATGGTCCAAATCAGGGATAGGGAGCCTTTTTTTCTGCCAAGGGCCATTTGGATATTTATAACATCATTCTTGGGCCATACAAAATTATCAACTTAAAAATTAGGCTGCCATATTTGGTCAGACATTTAATTAACTCACCCCCATGCCTTGGGAGGACCAGACAACATGATTCTGTGGGCCTTCCATGGCCCACGGGCCATATAGGCCCCACCTCTAGTCTAAACCTAAAGCTAGGCCAGCACTAGCTTCGTGCTAACCATTCAGGACTCCCTTGGCCAGACTTTCCCAGGACTCTGCATGTGCCACAATTGGGGGCAGCAGCTTCAGCAGGAGAATCGGTCCTTCCTTAGGGTGCTCTCTACTGTCTCGAGCCTGGAAAGAGATCTGTGCTGTCAGCTGTGGGGACATTCCAGCCCCCAAGGGAAGCAAGACTGATGTTGTGCTAACACAGTCTATGCCTTCTCCCTCTGAGACCTCTTAAAACGAGACTACAGGCATTGGGGGGAAGTAGAAACCCACATCAACAAAGTGAACAGGCAAGAGGACACCAGTGGGTCAGGAGCGGCAGAGCTGGAGAAACCTGGGTGTAGAGCACAGACTGAGGAGCACACCTCTGGGAAAGGGACCCTGGAGAAGATGGCACCTTCCAAATGCCAGGTGCAACAGGGCAGCAGTGGGAGCCTAGGGGACTGCACTCGGCAGCCCCCGTCTGTCCCCCGGGCACAGAATCTGAGCACGTTTCTTCAGAGGCACCGGGAGACCAGAGAAGACGTGTGTGCTGTCTAGTATCTGGGGGTGCCACCTGCCAGGCCCAAACACAGCAGGCCCAAACATACTGTGTTATCTTTTTCATAAGTGTGATCAGCAGCTAAGGGTCCCTAGACATTTCAGGAAAGCCATACACATAAATAGAAAAACCACAATAAACAGAAAAATTGACCAGAAAAACAAACAAACACAGATGGTGTAGGAAAAAGCAAAAAATTAATAACTATTATGTGTATCCTCAGAAAAATTCAAAGTAGTATTATAGCCAAATTGTAGTAATAGCTTTCTATTTCAAAGAATTAGAACGGGAAGTCTCCCAGAGAATAGAACAAAAAGACAGATTCAGAACAAATAAAGAAAAAGCTAAAAGACCCAAAGGATCAATCCAGGAAGGCTGCCCTGGGCCAAGGTGGCAGCACCGCGGAGTGGCCAGGGCTTTCAAAAGGCGAACTGGGTGGCCTGTGTGAAGCAGAAATGAGCGGAGCCACAATGCGCCAGGGACAATGTTCACAGCCCTTTGAATGGCCTACCTGGCAGCTGCATTCAAAACAGCAGTGCTTGCTACTTGGCCATGACATATTTTTAAGATCAAGGTGCAAATTTGGCTTCCAATGTTAATGGTTGTTTCACCTCCCCCTTGTTCACTTGTAAAGGTCCTCAGCATGTCTGAAAGGAGCTTTGAGTTACCCTTCACTTTCTGCTTCCCTAGAGAGCTGCTGGCGTTCTCAGCCGCACCCTTCCTTCCTCCCTGGAAATCGTCGTGGAGGCCCTGAGAGCAGGAGTGGTGAAGAAAATGATTAAGTTCCTGAAGGTAAAATGCCGTCATTGCTCACAACCTCTGGAGCTTCCAGGAACGTCTCATTTTATTTGGGGAACAGAAGTGAGGTGCCGCTATTGCACCCCTGCTAGATTTCAACCTTGAATGGGGATTCTCTTCTGCGTGTCCACCCAGACTGTGCTCTGAGCATCAACAAAAGAGTGGAGAATAGATAAGTAAACTGTTCCCCAGCTGGGTGGCTCAGTTGGTTAGAGCATCATCCAGATACACCACGGGTGTGGGTTCCATCTCTATTTGGGTCACGTACAAGAATCAACCAATGAATGCAGAAATGGGAGGGACAACAAATTCTCTCTCTCTCCCCCTCCCTCCTTGTGTTCTTCTAAGTAAGTAAATAAATAAATTAAATAGGTAAACTGTCCATTAAATACACATAGAAACCCTGTGTCCGAGCCTGTCTTACACATGCATGGCCTCTGTCCCGGAAAACGATGGTCTGAGTAACTCCCACCAAGGCTTCTCAGCCTCTTACTCTGCTCGCGTTTTCCCGCTCCCGGCGCTTTATCCAGTTGTCTGGAGGATGGAGGATGTAACTCCACTGTGAGATATGCAGGGTGCAGCTACAAAAGGATGTAACGAAAGGCTGTTCAGGTTTCCCTGTGATATGAGTGCAGTGAGTCTAAGCGAGTGGGTACAACAGGTAACCAGACTCACCCGGAAGGGCGAGGGGACGCACACAGCTGCCATCTCTGGATCCCTTCTGCGATAGCTATGCCCAGCAGGGTCACTCACCCGTGTTAATGTGGTGACCCCGTGGGAGACTTACTCATAAAACTCCGGGCTTGCAGGGCCAGGAAGCATGCTTGCTGTGCGTGGGGTTGCTGCGCTGCGTCAGGGACAGTATTGAGAGGGCAGGACAGGGCAGTCTGAGTTTCAGCTGCCACTTGCATGATGACTGTCATTCACTCTGGACATCTCTTGCAAACCTGCCAGAGGCTGCCGATTGCATGCACACATGTGATATTATGCATGCATATGTGCACCGTGCATTAGGTTATGATTTGACAGTTGTCACCTCGTAAAATGATGTAGGTCCCTGATGTTCTCTATGCAGGCCTGGCAGCCTTGGCAAGTCAGCCTTTGTTCTCAAATCCTGCAGTGAGCGGGTCCTTCCCTCCCTTTTTGGTTGATCTGTCAGTCGACAGCATCGTTCTCTTCTCAGCCACTCTCACAAAGCCTTGCCAGGCGATTCCTCAGGTGTACGTGTCAGGCCTGCACCCCCTGGTGTGGGCTGTGCTGGGGGAGGGGGTGAGTGCCACTCCCTCCGCAGGGCCACGCTCCTCTGGAAGTGCGCCCGTTCTCAGTGGGCCTCTCTTTTAGGCGTTAGGACGCCACGAGCAAGTCACAGCTGCTCACTGTGGTTTCTGCCAAGAACAGTCGCAGGATTGATGGTATTTTTCTAATCTCATTCGCAATCTAGGCGGGAGGCCAGACCGCCTCGCGTTATGCCGTGAAGACCCTCGCCATCTGCACTAACAGTTGCCATGAGGCACGAGAGGAAGTGATACAACTGGACAAGAGTAAGTGATGCTTTCGTTAAGCGGAGCCCACACCCCAGAGGCTAGTCATCCTTGAAGCTGCAAAGGGAACCAACCGCAGGTGAGCAGAAAGGAGGGACTTAGTGGAAAGCCGCTACCTCTCCCCGGCCTTCGGCTGTGCTTACACTGTCAGATGTCATCTCACCTCCAGCTCGGAAAGCATTGAATTAGCCTTGGGCTGCGCACAGGTAGCAGGCCCAGGCTGCAGACTCAGGTAACAGGGTTGAAGCTGAGAGCTACCGCCTGTCGCCAAGTTAAATTGAAATTGTTTCTAAACCATTCTGCTTAGACCGACCGACCTAACATGGGTTCTCCTCTTTCACCAGGGGAGGGGGGAGGAACAGGTTCAACTTGTAGTGAGCAAGGACAGTCACTGGAGTCTGAGCCTAGCGTTGCTCTAGTAACTGAGATCGACTGCAGGGTTCCCAGGCCAGGCAGCCTGCTGCTGTTCTCCTTACCCTCCCCTGGAATGTGCCAGGAGGGGACACACCAGGGCCTCTCCAAGCAGACAGGAACCTTTCTTCTGGGCCCTATTGCTTGCCCTGCAGCCCAGGATGCAGGCCCGTGGCCTCCCACTAGGGGCTGTCAAGTGGAGAGTTGAGGTAAAGGCTGGGGACTTTAGAGAAGACAGCGCTGCGTGCCTGCCACGCAGCATCCACCCACTCCCATCAGTGTTGTGCCAGACGCCGCCCAAGGCCTCTGAGGTACGTCAGAGACACACAGTGAAAGGAGCCGATGGCGCTCAGTACATTTTTGCTAAATGAGGGGGTGACATGCCCTATCTCAGAGTTTCTGGGCGCCTCAGCGTCCACTGACACCTCCTCGCGCCGTCCATCCCTCTGCCAGCCTCCTGCTTGGGATTTGGAGGGACCGATGCATGTTCTCCTCCTGCAGACTTCAGTGTTCTCATGACGCTGCTCGGCTCGGAGGATGAGATTCTGGTGGGCAACGCCGCCCTCTGCCTGGGGAACTGCATGGAGGTGCCCCAGGTGGCGTCCTCCCTGCTGAAGACGGACATCGTGCAAGTCCTGTTGAAGCTCGCAGCCCGCGATGTGGGGGAGAGGGCTGTGCCGCTGAACGCAGGGATCGCTCTGGGGAAGCTGTGCACGGCCGAGCCCAGGTGTGCGGGCCCCTGGTCATGTTTCAGAACAAGCAGGCGCCTGCCTGGCTGGGCTCTGCCCCGGGAGCCCTGGTTCCTTCCCTGCAGACAGGGTTGGGCCCTAGTAGCTGCCTCTTGGAGGAAGCCTTCCCTGAGGGAACTGGGGGCCCTCAGGCTCCACCCAGAGAGGGAAGACTTTTATCTGACAGGGATTTGCTTCCTGTCACTGTCCTCTCTGATTCCACTCCCTCATTCTCCATCCTCCTCTTTCCACTCCTCCTTCCTCCCTGTCACCATCTCTCCTCTCTCCCTCCTTCTTTCCCCTCTACTTTTCCAAAAAGAGTTAGCCCTCCCCTCATTCTTGTCTGCCCAGGGCATGAGCATATGGGAGAAGGTCCAGTGCCCATAACATTCTCCTGCTGGAGCAAACCAACATGAGACGTGGACAAGCCAGGGCAAGCCAGCTCTGCTCGAACCACGTCCACTGCTCCTGTTTAGCTCGTACTCTGTTCTTTCTGATGCGTTTAAATGTTTAAACTCCTAGTCATTCACGCTCCCAGTAGGTGCCGCCGTGGCTGCATGACGGAGCCCCGAGCCCGGCATAGAGGGGGTGCCTCCCTTGGCAGGGCGGGTGTCCGGCCTGCCGGGCTCCGTCCTTTGCAGCCTCAGGCCTCTGACTCCTCCTCCGTGGAATGAGAGGGTTGGCCTGGATGGCATCCAAGGTCCTTTCAAGTTCTGTCTGGTTGTTCAAATGGGAGGAATGGAGAGTTTCTTCCACAGAAAGCATGGCACGTTAGCTAGTGTGAGCTCAGAGTTCCCAAGAGCAGGTGCCATCGGATCAGCTGTCACACCCGCCACTCAGCGAGAGTGTTGGCCGTGTCTGCGGGCCTCCCTGAGGACTCCAGGGCCTCAGCTCAGCCCCTTGCCACCTTCCTGCCAGGGCTAGTGAGGGGCGGCCTGGGCTCAGCAGTCCGCACACAGGTCCTGGAGCTTGTGTTCCGATTACGACAGGTTTGCTGCTCAGCTGAGAGAGCTTCATGGACTAGAAATTCTCAACTCCACCGTGACGCACATCCAGGATTCTTGAGGCACGTGGTGTCTGTGCAAACCCACGACTGCGTGCCCTGGGTTGCTCCTGGTTAATAAAATCCTAAAATAGCCACTCAAGAACCAAATACTGACTTTCCGAGTCTGTGCCTGTGGTTTTCATTGGCAACAGGAGAGTGGGCATGAGGCCAGCTGCCGCGGCAGGACCTGCCTGCCCGCCCAGCGCCCCGTTCTGCAGAGGCTGGGCTCCAGCAAGCGAAAAGCCAGGCATCGTGTAAGTGACGGTTCTAGATGGGAGCTGTGTTCTGCCAGCCTCCCCCTCCCGCTCTGGGTCATTCCTGGAAGTGCCGCCTGGTGCCCTCCTCCAGTCAGACTGCGCACCCCATCCTGTGTGTCACTAACTCTCACAGATGCAGACATTCATTTCCCTAATCCACCTGCACTCTCACCCCATGCCCAGAAGCCCCTGCTCCCCTGCCTCTGCCCTAGGTCCACTCTCAGACTGCTGGGGCCACCTCTGCACCCCAAGTCCCTAAGTGAAAAGTCCAGTAAGTGACACGACTCTTCCACTTCTCAGTACATGTACGGAGCACTGTAGGGAAGGAGGTGGGACCTGTATGGTACAGTGAACACCAAGAGTCCCGGACCAAAGTCCCAAAGACTTATGGTCCTACCCTACTTCCTGGCAGCTGTGTGACTTTGGGCAAGTCACTTAACCACTCTGAGCTTTGGTAGCTGCTTCTGTTAAAACTAGAACAATACAGGCCCAGCCTATCTCCTGTATTGCTGTGAAGATTAAACGACACTTTAGAAGTAAAGGAACTTTGGGGATTACAAAGTGCTACACAGATAGGACATATTGTCAGGTTCCATCTTGAGGTCAAGGGAGTTGACTATTATGTTAGCTGGATTACATCTGAGTGGCCCGGGAAGGGGTAAAACACAGGTCCTTTAAGGAATCGGAGCTGGACCATCTCTGGACCCTGCAGGAAAAGGAATCTTCCTCCTAGATTTTGTTCATCAGACCCAAGAAATGGCTTTTCACGAGTCAGGTGGCTCTTAGCTTACATGAAAAACTGTGCTCCTGAAGCCAAGATAGGTCACTGGCACTTGGGGGGCTGGAGTGAAATCAATAGCCCCGAGACCCTCACTGTGGGCCCAGGGAACCACGTGGGGCTGGAGCAAGCTGGCGGGGCTGTGATAGCGCCGTCGCGCTGGCCCTGCGTGGCAGGCAGGTGACAGCCACAGGAGCGGCCAGGGGCTGCCCGCTCAGTCCCATCCCGCAGACACACACATCTGAAGAGGGAACTGAACGGCACAGGGAGATGGCTTGATGCTAACAGAGCACAGAGAAGGAAATTGGAGGCTGCGAAATGTGCTGTTTGGGGAGAGAATCCTGTGGAGCTTTAAAAATGGAAAGGTGCCCGTGTGCATAACCAGCAGGCTGTCGCCTCGACGGGAGGTCCCGGCCCCTCCTCCCCCTCTTCAGCTGCACTCCTCCTCCCCGGCTCTTGAAAATGGCTATTATACATCTAATCTCTTCCCCGGAGAGTGGGGAATGTCAAATTCTGTTACTATCTTTGCAGCAGGAATGTTCTCTGCTGCGGAGGAGGGTCTGGCCGCTCCGGGAGCTCCCTCCTCCCAGGTGGAAAGATGGTTTACATCCCCCTGTTCGCCTTCTCCAGTGCGGGGCCGGCCCTCCAAGCCCTGTTACCGCTAACCCGTGGGACACACAGGGCTCCTGGGCGGCATGGAAAAGCCGCTTCCGCGCTGAAGACGGGCTCACCGCTTCGTGCCAGGAGTCCTTACACCGTCCTTCCCACCCTCGGGGTCACGGCTTATCCCGGAAGAGCATTGCTGGTTCCACAAGCAGAGGCGCTGGCATTGCCCACCCTAAGGAGGATGTGACCGAGATGGAAGCCGATAGCCACCCGGAAGCCCGCAGAGGCATGAGGGACCGGTGGTGACAGCCGCCCAGGCAATGTGGCATGGCAGGTTAGAGGACAGCAGGCAGGACTGAGGGTCGATGTTGGGAGAAAGTAGCAGGAAGGGGCAGGACGTGCTACCCTGGGCCAGGACACTGCTGTCAGCAATTTCCCAGGATCTGTGAGGACAAGGCCAGATGACATTCAATCTTCCACGACCTTTTCCAAAATACAGTCCCACTTCCCGAATGCCTGGAAAATGCAGGCTCTCTAGAGGGCCCCGTCATTTACGCTCTCAGCCAATTCACTCCCAGCTCACCCCCTTCCCCAATGCCAGGGGCTCTCAGTCCGCAGGGGCTGTGGCCTGCGGGTCTGCAGAGAGAGGCTGAGTCCTGCCCACGCCCTGAGCATGGGCTCCGTGCAAGGCACAGTCATGCGTGCCTAGTGATCCTGCCGCACAAAGACCCTGAGAGGCAGGTGTCATCTCAGCTTCACTCGCCTGGATTCACGGGACCAATAGGCAGGGGAGCCAGGCTGTGGCCCAGCCTGTGTGTAACTTCTGCACGTAAAACATTCCTCCACTTCCTACACGTGGCATTAGGAAGAGGGGTCCAATTTCCTACGCCTCCGTTTCCTTTCTTACAAAGTGGGAGCATTTGTAAGATACCTATGGAGTTCTGTGGATTGGACATAACATATGAATCCCCTGGCATCGGTCACTGGAAAAAAAGAAGGCATTAACTTAAGTGACTATTATTTTTAGGCAAGAAATTACCATGAACTCACTATCTGCCGCCTCCCACCCTCACATTTCTGCTCATCCTTTTAATGCAGGCAAGTGCTTACCTGGCTGTTCCGTCTGTCTTTTCCTCTTTCCTGTACCTGGTGGCAAACATAGGGATCCTTCAAGACCCAGCTGCCTGCCACCTGCCTTCCCCTGCTCCCTCTGAGGTACCAGACCAGGCGGGTTGAGGTTTGAGCACACCCAGGGCTCACCAGCGGGTGGCAGTGTGCCTGGCCAGGGACCCTGTGACAGGGGCATTTACATCAGCAAGGCCTCATGGGCAGTGGACTGGGAGCCAAACACTGAAGGGCCATAGTTGCTAACATCCATGCCCCAAAGTCCCCTCCCCAAACAGATGTCAGCTGTTTGTCCTCAATTTAAAACCAGGAAAACCTGTTGATTCCCAGGACTGCATCTCCAGTACACATACATCAGGACATCTGTAGTTCTTTCTCAGCAGGCACCGGGGCAGAGGTCCCCCACCCCTGAGTGCCCTGGAAAGGAGGCATGTTAACAGCAAGACAGCTGACAGGCACCTCATCACCTCGGGCAGCTCCAGGCCTACCGTACCTCTGGCTGCTCGTGTCAGGGAAGTGCCGGGCTTCTGTCATCTGAAGCCTGTGGGTGACTTTTTTAAAAACAAGACCTCAAATTTTATCTCAATTTCAAAACAGCCAAATGAAGAATGGGTTCTCCTGGAGGCATTCTGCCCCTGGGGCTGGTTTTTCCCTGGGCCAGGCTCAGATTCCTCTGGATGCTCAGCTCTGGTTGGGAGTGAGGAGGGGCCTTGGGTGCCAGCAGTGCGAGCAGCACCTGTGCTCCCATCGCAGTGGGTTGAAGGGAGGTGCTCCGTGTGAGGTGCCGTCTGCTGGACGCACCCATTCAGTTCCGCCTGAGCAGCATGCCCCTTGTCACATGTCTGTCTATGGCTTCACATTTGCACTTTAATCTTCAGTAGCTCCATCTACTCATTTTGATCCCTCACTTCCCCGTCGAGCCTCGAGTCCATGCAGACACACACATGCACTTGCAGATGAATTTCCACATAAAAACAGGTGAGTTTATGTGCAACGGGAGTTAGGCTAGATCAAAGCACAGATAATGAGAAATATTGGGGTGGGTGTTGAGGACGAAGGCTTCTAGCATGCCCAAGATGAAAATAATTTAGGGACCATCCAATTTCAGTATCTGTTTTATTGGAATCCATCTGATTTTATTTGCTAAATATAATGCAGTGCTTAAAAATATGTAGTCTGCACACCCCACCTCCAATTTATACATAAGGAAATCAAGACTGAAAGGCAGGCGAGCTGCCTCCCAGGGGCAGAAGCCTCTGAACCAAGGGGGCGGAGAACTAGGGTCAGTTCTCAAGGCAGCCACTGGGAGGCAGTAAGTGCAGTGGCTCAAAGCCCAGCTCCACCTCGTATGTCACTGAGCCCCTTCATTGCCTGGCCTATAAAATGTGGGGGTGGACAAGTACAATACTGACTTCATGAGTTTGTCCTAAGGATTAAATGGGAGGATTTCTGTAAAGCTCTCAGCTTCCTTCTGGGCACTTGTAGCCCAGGAAATAGTGGCCACTGTGGTCCTTAGAGTGGAGTCGCTGCCTCATCAATGCCCCGGCTGGCCATCCCTGTGTGCTCTTCCCAGAGTTCTTAAATATGGGGATTTTTATCAGGATTGGAAGGATCTGGCTCTGCCAGAAGATGGGGGATAGAGAAGTGTGCTCCCAAGTTCAATGCCATCCCGGATATAGACCGCCATCAATGGAGAGCTGGGCTGTGGAGTGTGGCAGTGGGAGTCCTGGTGTGGTGGGGGGGCATGCGCAGGAGAGCATGAAGGATTCAGACCCGTGTTCACGGAACTTGGCACTGCGTTATCAATATCAGGGGGAAATAAGAAAAAGACAGGCACCGGATTAGGCTAACTTGCATTATAGTAATAGCCTCTGGGCAGATCTCCCTGTCTCGCTCCGAAGTCTAAGCCATCCTGCATACTGAAGCAGAATAATCCTCTTAAACTCCCCTTCCATTATGTCGCACCCCTTCTCGGGCACATTCTCACAACTGCCAGCAGGATAAAGGGCAGACTCCTCTGCTGGTGCGTGCACGTGGTGTATTGTGTGTGTGAATGTGTGGGTGTGTGGTGTCGACGGGTAAAGGCATAAAGAGAGCATAGCGCTTTTTGAATTTTCTAAAATTTTGCTGATCAAACACATTATCTTAAACTACCGTAAGAATTATGTTCATTCCTTGTACTGAGGAGGAGTAAGAGCTATGATCCATAAGCTTTAGGTGTAATTTTATATGAGCATATCTGTGATTACCCCTCAAATATTAACAAAGCCATGC